TTCCATTAAACTAGAAATATCTTTCCCAGCCATGTTATTGGACTCCTACGCGCACCATTTTAAAACAACTTTTTTTCTACCCTAACTTTATTAGTGCCTAAAATTAGGTTTCTCGTCAAAAACCCATTTCACATTACTTATTTACTTATACCTTATTTATTTATTTAAACTTTATACTTTTTTCATGCTCTCTCTAATTCTACTGGTATTTACTTTTGATAATTAATTAAGACAATGTTTCAACATTCAATGCAATGTAATAAAATAATTAAAATAATTGTTTTTTTATTTAGATTTTCTTTGTGATAGAATAAAAAGAAGGTTAATTTTATTTCTTAAATCAAGAAAAAAGGAAAAGATAATAATTAAATGGGATGAAATGGAATTTCATTCGATTTCATAATAATCCAATGATTCCATATACTTTTATTTTAATGATTTAAATTAAATAATAGATTTTAACTTAATTTATTTATAATTATGATATTAGCCCGAATTATTTATTAATTTATTATTAAGGTCAATGTGGGGTTGAGATAAATACACAATAACTAATGTTTTATGTAACGATCCGTCATGGTTCGTATAGTGTAGGACACAACAACTACCTCAAAATCATATATTAAAATAAGTACAACATTGCAAATAATAATCTTGCATATGTAAATAAAAATACATACAACTAAGTTGTTAGCCAAACAACTATAACTATCTACACAAAAATTCGCCTCCAATAGATAGTCAACGAAACATCCAACTCCAAATGTTATTGTGTGGCCTCCACTGTGATACTCCAGCCCTATCCTTGCCTGCTCTCATACGCGTATGATCATCACAGTCCAAACCACATGAAAACATGCAAGGGTAAGGGTAAGTTAGGAAAAAGAAATATATATATATATATATATACACATACATATATATACACACACATGGGAATATCACATTATCATCTCATTTTTGTCAACACAACAACGAAGCATCACAATCAACATAATCCAACTCTAATTCGACACAACAACAATTTTTTTGCAACTCAACAACACAACATCATAGCATACAACACTACTTAACTTAGTCCAACTTTTAATCAACACAACAACACATTTCATCACAATTCAACATAGCATATGAACAACACAATCAACTCAACACATCATATGCTCAATACAGTAACTCTATGTGTCATCATGTATTTCAATTAGGAGTTACAACACATGATGAATAGTTTAAGCGACTTGATCTTACTGAATCGACAACACAAGGTGATCTTTTTGGGCTTGTTAGATCAATAGCAAATTGGAAAAAATCCGCAACATGGTGTTGAGATTTTCCGTTGAAATACTTTTGTTATAATTGTAAATCAGTTTAATTCTATCAACCGTCTCAAACACGGCAAGTATACCGGCCGGTCCCGTAGTAAAATTATCGTATCCACATGGATTAGAAGGGAACATAAGCAATTATTGATTATTCGTGACCAAAGACTAA